AACTAAATGGGAAAAGTACGGGTAACAGTACTCCGGTGTGAAAACGCCTTATGTAACACTTGCGCTTCTATTGGCTAGCACTCAAAATCGTGGTACGTGGTTAAAGGGCGGGACATCTCTAAGCGGTTGACCAATCACTACAGAGCCGGCCAGCTAACCAATCAGAGCAGACTGGGCTCTGGTTTTAGGCAGAGGGTGGAAAGAGGTGCTGCAGCACAGGCAGTATGCGAATAAAATACTTTTTAATATTAAAGCATGTAAACATGTCACAGCAGAGGCACAAAACATAAATATGAAGCTGCAAATTAGCATGATTGGTCCCCCTTTAAAAAAAATAAATCCTAACTTGTCTATGATATTATGAGTAATAAAGAATCATTCATAAAATTCCAATGATGCAATATAGTGTAAAGTCAAAGGAAACACAAGGACACTGAGCACAAGATACAAACCATATCATGTTGGAAGGACATACTGTGATGTTATCTGTTCTACCCAGCCCATCCCACACATCAACACCAACTGAAAGACCTCCACAGCAGGGAAGAAAAGTTCCCAAGGAAAACAACAAAGCCTATAGCATTTCCACATCATTCCCCAACAGGTGGATGAATGTGTAATGAAGGAGAAAAAGGACAATAACAAGTGTGTGTAGAAGAGGAACACTTCAGAATATTATCTAATGGAGTATTGTTATTGGCTGGCATTCAGCTTTAGTTACTACTTTTCAGGTTACAGTTTTTCACACGCTTCCTCTCCAAGGAAAAAGCCTATTTACTTTTTCTTCTTTTTCCATTGAATCAAAATTGTACTTCTTAAACTGAATGCACGAAATAAAAATATCCCGAATCAGCTGGAAAATGCGTTGTCACACAGGGATGTTTATCTGAGCACATGAAAAGTTGACTTTTTTAGGAATATGTGCTTCTCCCTGTAGATTTAACTAGCCAACATCCTATAACGGAGTTGAATTATGACAACCTTGAACAGGCACGTGCACAAATAGACCCCAAAGGGGGCTTCAGCACCTGCCCTTTTGCCCTCCTATTAGAGAATATAAATTCAAATATCATTTATATTTTGTGTGCACATGTAACCCAGTTCACAGAGTTCCTTGTGCTACTGAACAGTTTTCATAAGCAAAATAAGTTGTGTTTTGTATTTTATGTCATGTGCATATTGAATCTGATTTCTTCCAAAGACAATTGTGCTAAGTTGCACTGTATTTAGTGTGTTTGCCTTTTATGTAAAAATAATCGATGAGAAACCTAAACCTGTGTCTAATACATACAATATTAGCCTTTTTTCTTAGTGGCCGCTATTACTGAAGAATATAGTAACTAGAAGAATTTACAGAAATACATTTAATTGATTTGCAATTACTTTTTAAATAGCTGTCATGAAGCAGTGTGTGAAGTGATTTGTTTTAAAAACATACAATTTAATATTGCTTGAACAAAAATTAGTCATTCTAGGCATATTTGTATTAGATTAGTAACAAAACTCGCCGATGTGTCGTTTTATACAGTTAAGCCCCTTCCCCTCTAACGTCCTCTGCACATGACTGACCTTGAACAAAGCACAAAGATGCAAAATACACATGTATGCAGCAGCGATATTATCCAAACAAGAAGCCTCATATAAATAGACAAAACTCAATTTATTTTCTTCAAAATGAATACACACTTT